GTCTGCCACAGGGTCTACCTCCCTAACGACAGCAGCGAGGTGAGTCCCCCACCCGGCCCCGCGGCGACTCTCAGGCCTCGAGAGGCACCTCCCCACTGGACCGGTGTGCTCCTGGGTCACGCCAGGAGAGCGCTTTTGGGGTTTCTCGTGGGCCGTCTCCCCTTCACCACTCTCCACTGCCCCTCCCCTGGGACCCAGGCCATGCCCAGCCCTCAGGGGCTTTGGAAGCAGAGACAGTCCCAAGGTAGGACCTGGAGGTTCCAGGCCCAGGACACGGGAGGGAGGCCAGCATGGTGGGCAGCCAGGTTGAGTCCCAAGGGCTCGGGGGCTCCTAGGGGCTGCTGACAGTCCCAGGCATGGGGCGCAGGTGGCACCCCTGGGTGGGCCTTGTGCACAGAACCCACCACAGCCCTGGGGGAGAGCAGAAGGGATAGGCAGGAGGTAAGAGACAACCAGGATCCAGATGTGACACAGGGCCTTGGCTAGAGGCAGCAAAGCTGAGTGGTCCAAGGTGGATTATGCAGCTTCACACTCCCTAGTGGCAGGTTGGCCGTTATGGCCTTGGGCCCAGTTAAGTCCCTGTAACAGGAAGTTCCCACGGTCCAGCTGCCAGGCTCTCAACGCAAGTCAAAAGGCTGGGCCTCCTGGGCCCTGGGCAGTGAATACTGGGACTGTACAACATTAAACATCAGGTCAGAGTTCTGGAAGGGAGGCCTGCCTTTCTCAGAACAGAGCACGCCCGGCCCAAACTTCATGAAGAAGGAAAAACACCAGATGACAAGGGGTAATCCCAAGACAGCTGCTCTCGGAGCTTTCTGGCCCCAGACGAGGCTCAGAGCCTCACTGGCCTTCTCTCTGCCCAGAGGCTGGAGGTGGGCGGGTGTGGTGTGTGTGTGACAGCATTGCCACCAGGCTGCAGCTGGCCTCCTGGGAGGGATGAGGTCTCTTCATCAAGATCGCAGACAAGGTATGCCAGCCATCAGCCAGGGCTAAGCAGACGATGGGCAGGGCCCTTGGTGGTGGACCTCAGCCTGCGCAATGCTCCTGTACTGGACCAGGCTTCTCACAGCACGGCTGGGGCTTCCAGGACAGAGATAGGTGGGGTCTTCGAGCCAGAGCCCTCGACCTCCACCCCAGTAACCCACCTGGGTGCTGAGTTGCAGTGGACACCAGCACTGACCCTGAGGAAGGCTGCCGCAGCGTGGACCCAAACCTTGTGGGCAACCCAGGAGGACAGGACCCTGGACGCTCAACCTGCCTACCGCCCTGTACCTTCCCCCCCAGGTCTTCAGCCAGAAGGAGGGAGACTCTTCTTTGACTCCTTGAGGCAGGCGTCTGACTGGGTGAAGAACAAGCCCCAGAAAGGTGGGGAGGGGGTTCCTGTAGAGCTGGGAGGGAAAGTGTAGCTGCATGGAGAAGAAAGAGCGACCGTCAGCTTCCCTGGCTGGGTCGCCTCCTGCACGGTCCCACCATCATCCGTCCCCGTGTGTCCCCTAGTTTGTGGGTATAACTAGATCATGTGAAGGGGACTTCGTAGCTAGGGCAGTGGCAGGGTGTCAAGACAGGCCAGGAACAGATGACTGCACTGCAGGGTGATAAAGGGTGCCTGGGGACTGAGGGGGTTCGACCTGTTCCTGGAGAAGTTGCCTCTGACAGGTGTTTTGAAGGCTGAGGGAGAGGTGGGGATGGGGAGGAAGACTGGAGGCTTTCCTGGAGGCAGCAGGAGCCACGTGGGAGCAGCCACCAGGGGGTGGGGGTGGGAGTCAGTGCTAAGGCCACAGAGGCAGGGGGTGCCGGCGGTGCCCGCTGGGACAAGCCTGAGGCACATCACCACCCCTCTTCCAGGGGCCCCCGTGACGCTTCCCTACCAGGTGTACTTCCTGCAGAAGCTGTGGCTCAATGTGGCCCCAGGGAGGGATGTGAACGCTGACACCAAACTCCACTACCACCAGGTACGGGCAGGCTGCCCTCCTGCCGGGCGCTGGGCCACTCCCTTCCCTCCCACGCCTGCCCTGTGCGTGCAAGAGCCAGCAGGCAAGGGCACCGGTGCACACCCAGTCTGGGCTCCGGCCCTGGGGTCTCCTGTGGTGACCGGGCTGAGCCCCTGAAGATTCTGGAGCCAGGTCAGAGGGCAGCAGCCTTTGGGCACAGTGACTTCACCAGCACCTGTAGCATGACTGTGGGCACTATGAGAGACAGAGGGTCCCATGGCCACGGGCCAGTGGCTGTGCCCTGAGGTATGGAGCGGGCCACCACCTCTGCACAGGACGTCAGGGAGCCCAGCCCTGACTCGGGGGTCTTGTCCCCAAAACTACCCTGACGGCCTTTGCCTGTGGCCTGCTCAGTCTGTCCTGGATGGAGGGGGCTAATTCCCAAGTCCCCACCGGCCGAGCAGGAAGGAGGGCTGGCTGCGCAGGCCGCAGTCTGAGGCTCCTGTCACCACCCAGGAGCTGCCCAAGTACCTGCGTGTGTTCCACAAGTGCTCGCGGGAGGATGCCGTCCACCTGGCGGGCCTCATCTACAAGGCCCAGTTTGGCGGCGACCGGTCCCAGCTGGCTCATGTCCCCAAGGTCCTGAGGGAACTGGTGCCTGAGAGCCTCACACGCCTGATGTCTGCAGAGGAGTGGAAGAAGGTCCCTGACGGGGCTGGGAGGGGCCTCGGGCTGCCGCTCCCCGGGACCCCTCCCGGCGCCACACGCTGCCTGGCCCGAGGAGCCCACTGCTGGCATGGAGGGGGGCTGGGCCTGTGCACACCACACCTTCCCCACACCATTCACAGTGCCGCAAGACTTCCTTCCTTCACACCCCTCCCTTCCCTCTCCATTCCTGTACATACTGGCCCTCAGGTAGGCAGTCACTGCCTTGCAGGGCTTTAGGGGCCTGGGGTCCAGACCCTGTGTGGAGGGCCAGGTCTGAGCAGGGCAGTCCCACCCTAGCACTGGCTGGCCCTCCCCTCTCCCAGAGCACCCTTGCAGCCTATGACAAGCACAAGGACAAGACGGTGGAGGAGGCCAAGGTGGCCTTCCTGAAGCGGATATGCCGGTGGCCCACCTTCGGGTCTGCTTCTTGGAGGTGAAGGTAGGCCTGGCCCCATTCCCAGACCTCCTAGCCCAGCAGGCCCACTCAGCTTTGCCTGGCATCCCACATCTCCCTAGTTTCCCAGCACACATCTCAGGCGGGGCTGGCTGTGAGGTTGTAGTATGTGGGCGTGTATCTGTGTGTGTCCCAGGTGAGCTCCTAGAAGGTGCCGCCTGGACTCCCAGTCCGGACCGTAATCACCATGCCCTCTATCCCAGCAAACCTTGGAGCCCTCCTACCCAGACATCATCCTCATTACCATCGACCAGTACAGGGCTCTGCTCACCCACTCCAAGTCCAAGGTAGCCACCAGGCCTCTGGCAAGGCAGGTGCCACTTTGCAGGTGAAGCTGTGGTTGCCTCCCTCCTGTCCCCCAGCACAGACACACACACAGCCCCAGGATCAAAAGGACCCTGGCTCGCTGGGTTTCCTCAGACTCCCTGCCCACCCTCTCTCTGCCCCCAGGACCTGCTCACCACCCATCCTTCACCAAGATCGCCAGCTGGAGCAGTGGCAGCACCTACTTTCACGTGGTGCTGGGGAGTCTGGGCCAGGGCAGCCACCTGCTATGTGAGCCCAGGTCCCTTCTCAGCCCAGATACTCAGGACAGGGGTGCTGGGACTGGGCTCCCACCCTCACTCCTTGCTGCCACCTGGCTAGTGGCTCACTGTGAGGGTCCGGCCACCGGGCCCAGGCAGGGCCAGCAGACTTGGAGAGAGGCTGGGGGGAGCCCAGAAGGGCAGGCAGAAATAGGCAGGCGGCCCCAGCAGCAGGAGCCTGCCTTCCTTCTCCCCCACACCCCGAGCGCTGGTTGCTGAGGCAGAGAAAGCTGCATGCCACCAGGTCCGAGTCCAAACCCCCACCTGCCCTCCCTGCAGCTGCAGTCTCTAACCCTACATCCCCTGTCCAGGGCTATAAGATGGATGACCTGCTAACCTCACATGCGCATGAACACACAGCAGGGCTCCCAGGCTCCCGCCCCGGCCAGCCCCCAGCGGTGGGTGCAGGCCAAACCACTCAGTTCCCCTTCTTGACTTGGGGCTGGCGGCATGCCCAGGGCCTGCCCTCTGCAGGCAGCCTTCCGTGCTGCAGCCCCCAGTTGACCCTCTCGTTGGCACTGGCCACAGTGAGGCGGGAGTCTGGGGCTGCAGACTGATGGTGAATGGCTGAGAGGACCCACCCTACCAGAACGTTCAGCAGAAACGTAGGCAACAGTGGAAGTGTGCCCATGAGGGGCTGGGGAGTGAGGGGCAGGTGGACAGGGTGTTGAGAGGCCTGGACCACAAGGGGTCTCTTTCCGAGAAAGCAAGAAGCATGGCAACGTCCCCCGGGAGACCGGATGGCAGCTGCATCCCCGCATCCCCCAGGAATGACGTCATTCCTTCCTTCACTCTCCGTCCTCCCTCCCTTCCTTCCTCTCCCTCTCTTCCCTTCCTTCATTTTTCTCAGGCTGGGGAGAGAGTACTCACTGGAAACCCCTCCTTCCAAGGCTCCTCTGCACACCTTTCTCCTTCCCCCATGGGCACTGGGCCCATGGATGCTCCCAGAAGCCAGGGCAGAGGTGCTGCTGTCTGGTCGCTAACTTTGTACTGGGCCAGCCTGTGCCCAGTCAGCGGAGCTGGACACAGCACCTTGGAGGCCTGGGTTCCCCTCACCTCACTGGTCGGCCTTGCCCAGCCCACTCTCCACCCCGCCAACTGGGCCAGCCCACATGGGCCCGGCTGCCCAGGCCTAAGGGCCCTCGGCCACTTTGTCTCAAGCCCTGAGGGCAGCCTTGCGCTGGCCAGGGGCTGGGGCCTGAACCCAGGCCTGCCTGTCTGGCGTCTGTCTCTCTGTGTTCAACAGCCCCAGCAGCGGTATCTCCACAGAGCCCTTGCCCACCCCCGCACCCTTGCCCCCACAAAAGACTCAGGCCACTGTGGTCATGTGAACAAGCCTTCGTTGAGCAAGCGTGAAACCAGACCAGGTCTGTGCTGACTGCAGAGGAAGTGTTCGCCCTGGAGGTGGGAATGTGCCACCCCGACCCCACTACCCCCTGAGGCCACACCAAAGGTCCAACAAAGTCCCCGGGGTGAAGGAGGGGAACCACAGCAGCCTCTGTTCAAGGAGGACAGCCAAGACAAGATTTCAGGAAGGCCTCCTCAGGCATGGAAGCGGGGTCTTGTCCCTCCAGGTGGCTCACGGGTGGACGTGGCAAGGCTTACTGCTCAGTCGGGGCACAGGGCCACGACTTGGTTGAGTGAGTGGTGAGGGATTGAGGTGACGCCCCAGGGGACTCTGCCGGATGCCCTAGCCCTGGGGCTCAGCCGGGTTACCCTGGGCGTCGGTACCCCAAGTGCCCACAGTGGGGCCGTGCTGGGGTGGAGGCTCCCACGGGACAGTATGTGACATCTGGCCTTCTGCAAGGAGGGACCAGGCAGGACAGGCCAGGCTGGGAGCTGCCGCAACTCCAGGCCCCAGTTTGCTCCCGTCCCTCGGGTCCTGGGTACAGGCGGACACGGCTGCTGGCTGGACCCAGGCCCATCACAGGCCCCCCTACCTGGGACCCCCGCCTCTGCACAGAAGGAAAAGAGCAGCCACAGGGAAGACAGAGACGAGGCACCAGAGTAGGAGGGGAGAGGGAAGGAGAGCGGCAGCAGCGGTCGGCAGGGAGGAGGTCCAGAACGGGAAGAAAGCGGCTGCCACGCGGGCGGGTGAGGCTCTCAGGCGGAGTTGAGGTCCACAGCCTTGGGCTGGGCCTTGCGGGAGGTCAGCTCCGACAGCTTCTTCAGCCGCTTCTTGAGCTCCAGCGGGAACTTCTCGTAGCATTTCTTACACACGGGCTTCATATCGAACTCCACAAATTTGTTCCTGGGAGGACACCAGGCAATCGGTGGCCACACCCCACCCGCTCTAGCCCAGTGGGTGACCCCAGAGGCGGAGGAGTGAGCTTCCCTCAGCCCCTGGCCACAGCCCCCCGCCCCTGCCAGCTCCCGGCCAGCAGGCCAGGCCCCAGGGTAAGGAGAGGGGTCTCTATGCCTCCCTTCCCTCCCAGAGGCTTCTCTCGGGTTCTGACACCCAGAACCCTCCATGGCTCCCCACTGCCCTCAGAAACCCAGGTCCCCTCTCTCCCCTCACAGCTCCAGCCAGCCCATGCCCCTCGAGGCTTCCTGGAAGCGCCAGCTGCCTGACTCTGTTGCCTCTGCTGATGCTGTTCCTTGGGCTAGGATGCCCTTCTCTCCCCAGAGCCCAGGGTCCTTGCAGGTGGTTGGAGGCTCAAATGTCCCTCCTCCTCTCCGTTCTCTGTGCCCTAGGGTCCCTGGACATGCCCCCACCACCCTGGGCTAGGGCTGTCCCCACTGCACCCCCAGACCTGACCACGGCCCAAGTGCTGAGATGGCTGACGGAAGGAGGGACCTGCAGAAGCGCACTCCCCCGACTCCCCGCCATGCTCCACGGGGGGGGGGCCAACTTACTTCAAGGTGAGCTTGCTGTTGCAGGTGGAGCAGGAGAAGCAGCTCACACACCAGGCCTTGTTGAGGGCCGACACCACTGTGGGGCAGACGAGGGCTTAGCAGGCCCAGCCAGGGCTTCGCCATGGGCCCAGCTGGTGCAAAGTGGGGCTGGCTGGGGCTGCAGCTGCAGGCCCCAGAAACGCAGGCGGGCAGGGAAGGGGAGGGAGGGGCGGGGACACAGCACGCGGGGCCTCACCATCGCCCTCGATCACGTGACTGCAGTTGTAGCAGACGTCCCCAAAAAGCTGTGGACCAAGCAGGCTGTCAGCAAGGATGCGAGCCCGGCCAGACGGCCCCTCCCCCATGGCATGGCCCCAGGCCTGGGCAAGGGCAGCCCTGTCCCATTAGAATCATCCCTGGGCAGGACAGCAGCTGAGGCATTGCTCCCCAGAAAGGTCCTCTTGCCCCTGCTGGTGTCTTGGGAAGGGTGGGCTGAGCAGTGACCCCGTCCCGTCAGCCTCCCCTGCCTTCTGTCCAAGAGCGAGGGAGGGAGGAGGATGATGGCACCGTCACCCCCACATGCCAAAGACCTCACACAAAGCCTGGGCACAAGAGCATATTTTTCAGATGGGACTGCTGAGGCTGAGAAATCTGCCCAGGTCTCAAGACCCCAAGCCAGGAGCCAGGGATAGGAGTGCAGGCCTGGGCTTAGCACCCATAGGGGGATGGCTGAGGGGGATGCCAGTGGCCTCATGTCCAGCCGATGTCCCTGCAGCTCTGCCCTGGGTCTCACCTGGTTGTAGTGGGTCTCACAATAGGCTAGGCCCTTCTTCTCGTAGTGCCGATGCCCCAGGAATGGCTTCTCACACTTGGCGCAGACAAAGTGCTGGAAGGACACAGGGCGAACCAGTGACCCCAGGGGCAGTGGTGACAACAGAAGATAAAAAGCAGAGGTTGGGCAGGTTGGGGCCTTCTAGAGCTCACACAGGGCAGAGGGACTGACACTCCGTGGATGCTCTGAGGTCAGCAGATCCTGCTTCTCATCTAAATCACCCACAGAGATACGGCCTGTCACCGTCCTCTCCCAGCTGGGTGTTCCTCCTCGGCAGCCTCAGCCTGAGGAGTCAGGGCCAGCAAGGGGCTGCAGCATGGTGGGACTTCATGGGTGGGAGCCCTGCCTGTCAGCCCGGGGCCACTGAGAAGCACCTTTCCGTTGCTCGAGAGGTGGGCATGTGAGGATGCAGCCACCCCGCAAGCTAGGGCGAGGACCTGCATCAGGGACCCTCTCAAGCAGGCCAATCAAGGCACAACTTCTGGACCTAGGGCTAGACAGGTCACTGGGGCACAAGAGCCTCCTTTCTGAGTGTGTCTATAAGAACAGGAGAGTCTGCAGTCGATTCAACTTCACCACTCTGTGTCTGCATGGGGTTATACATACAGCCAGGCTGTCAGCCACAACCCACAGGGCACCGTGGGCAGACTGTCCCCAGGTTTTCTCCCAACTTTAGAATCTCTGAGAATGCCAGAAGGGGAGGAAAGGCGGGCATGGCTGCCCAGCCATGTCTGGGGCCCAGGTCTCCTGGTTCGCGAGGGCTGGCTGAAGTCCTCGGCCAAGCACAAAAGGCCAGCACCCCAGAGGAAGTGCTCGCTGAAAGCCAGCAACACAAGCCGGGCTGCAGCGCTGTTACCGTGACTTGAACGGGGGCACCCTCATCCTGAGGCCACACACCCCTGAGCCCGGCTCACCTCCACGTGCCATTGCTTGCCCAGCGCGTTGACCACGCGGCCCTCAATGGGCCGGCGGCAGGCCCCGCAGATGGGGACGCCCATCTTGTCATGGCAGGGCAGGCAGTAGAGCTCACCCTTCAGCTCGCGAGCCTCGGCGGTCAGCTCCTTCCTGGAAGACAGCAGGGCCAAGTCCTGTCCCTGCCCTTCTGCAGGGTCCATTCGTCCCTCCTGTCCAGCTCCCCGAGAGGCCCGTTCTGTCCCAGCGGAGCGCTGGGGCGGGTGTGCGCTACGATCTCTGGGCCCTTGGAAGACTTCCTGTGCCCCACATGGGCCCTGGAGCAGGGACTTACACACAGGCCCGGCAGAAGGCAGCCTGTGTTCTGCAGCATCTGTCCTCTGAGACGCAGGTCTGTTCTAGGACCCCTTCCCTCAAACCAGACTGGGTGACAGGGACAGGCCCACAGGGGACTGGGGGAGGCAGGGGGCACGGCTCTGCAGCCCCTCTCTAAACTCCTCTCCACGCTAGCACCAGGATGACTCCAGGGTGGCCAGCCCCCACTCTCACTCTCGACCCTCTGATCCCTTCCTCTCTGCTGCTTCCTCTCGGCCATCACGGGCAGTCCAGGGACCTGAGCCTCCCCCCAGCTGAGTCTCGGGCGGCCCCTCCACAGAGCCCCAGAGAGAGCAGCCTCTGCCGCAATCACTTCCCAGCCCCCGTTCCACCTCGCCCTGCAGCCGTGGACCCTGCTCGCCAGACCCCCTCCCAGCCCACCTGCTCTCCTCTCCCGCCCCACTGCAGCCCCGCACGGGGTTGCCGCATCCAGCTCCGGGATGGCCCTGGCTCTCCACCTGCCCCTTCGCAGGGACGAGCTGTGCGCCTACCCACAGTGGGTGCAGCTGAAGTGGTCCGGGTGGTAGGCGTCGCTCCTGAACATGAGAGGCGGCTCGTCAATGACCAGGTGGCACCGCTGGCAGATGTACTTGCCCAGGTCCTTGGCCTTCTCGCGGTGGTGGCAAGGCCGGCAGAGGTGCCTGCGGAAGGCAACGGGGCGGGGGGGCTAGGGACAGGCAGCCCGGCCACATCCAGGAGAGGAGAGCATGGACCCTGTGGCTTTACCCAGCACCTGGGGCCTCAAAGGACTCAGCCCGGGGTGGGGACTGACAAGTACAATGCCCAGCCACAGGGTGCCCTCTGAAAGACTCCTAAGCTTAGGGGGGAAGATAAGAGCAAAACAAGGCCATCTCTGGGTGGGGTGTTTCTCCTTTCCTTTTATTCTGAGCCCAGGACACCATGTGGAATAGAGCAGGCATTTAACTGACATCTGCTGAGAGATCAGTTTTGTTTTCCAAATGTCTCTCGAACACACGGAGCAGCAGCCAGTGCCCGCGGGGCCGGCTCACCCCTCCCCTTGGAGTCCGCCAGATGAAGAGGGGCCCAGACATACACAGGCACTTTCTGTCTCCAAAGACGAGCACGGCTAGCTCAGAGGCCCCAACCCAAGGGCTGCCCTTACAGAGTCTTTTTGTGAAGACCTCAGAGTTGTTTCTGATACTACTCGCCGCGTTGGGCGACAGCTGTGTTCTCAACTAAGAGAGAAATCTGCATGGTTTCTGTTTCCTTGGGCTTCAAAGGTGGCAAGGATTTAGACCCAGAGTCCCAGGCAAAGAAGCACAAAGGCCCTGATCCAACAGCCCTCGCTCCCCATTCCCCACCTGCCACCCCGATCTCCAGCGTGCGGGACACAGTTCCAGCCCTCAGAGGGGCCTCTCTACCCCTCACTGGCCACCACAGAGACTTGACACTCAGTGTTGGCCCCAGTGACAGGCTGGTTGGGGAGGCTACTTCAGAGATCCAACCTCGGACTCAAGAACCCCCAACCAGGTACGGTGGGCAGAGCCCAGAGGCCAGGTGGCCAACTCAGCATCCCTGCCCCAGACCTCAATACCTGCCGCCCCTGTCTGGGTCTGGACTCCGCCCTGCCCCGCGTGCACGCCTCTTGCCCTGGGGTGGCTCGTCTTCCCAGCTGGTGTGAAGAGCAAGGCCAAGTGAGGTGCCTAGTGGCCGCTGGCCAAGCTGCGCTGGCCCCTGGTCCTCAGCTGTGCCTTCACCAGACCCTACGTGGCCAGCGCAGGGCAGTTGCTCACAGTCTGTCTGTTGAGGGCACGCGCAAATGAGTGATTGTGCGAGAGAGGAAGGGAGGGAGGGATGGTGGGCGTCGCCTCCTGTGACGACGTGACCAGGCCACGACTGGGAGACCTGGGAGACTCTGGCTCTCTCTACAGAAGCGATCACAGCCCCAGATTGAAGGGTGACCCTCAGAATTTGTTTCCTGGTAGAATTAAGATGAAACCTAAGAATTCTAGATTCAAAATGCAACAGAAACACAAAACAAAATAAGCCTAGTACATATGAAGAGTAAGTTCTTGTGTGACACACACTTGGCCTCAAATCGTGGCTCTGACACTTCCTAGTATTTGCAGTTGAGTGAGTTTCTTCACTCCCTGAGCCTCATTCTCCTTGTCTGTAAAACGGGGTGATAACCCCAGCTGGATGGGGTTACACGAAGAGATACATTTAAGACAGTGCATGTGACAGGCACTCCCTAAATGCTCGTCTCATTCAAATGCTGTCACTGAAAACCTTAAAGGCGTTCTAAACTAGGAGTGGTGATTGGTTCCCAGTGTTGCTGGACTTAGCATTATTGGAAAGACGGGGAGAAATGAGCCTTGTTCACTTGGTCTCGGGAGCAGCCACTGGCAACACCCAAAAGCTCCCCAGCCCGGAACCACCCCAGGGAGGAGAGTTGGTCCAGCACCTTGCAGGCTGCAGGGGTCTCCCGGCCCAAGGAAGAGTCCTCCCAGGTGAGGGCCACGCCTCCTGGGGCTGAGCTGTGTCCCAGAGGCCAGACAGCGCCCCATTATGAGGGTCCCGCAGCTGTGCCACGCTCCAGATAAAGGCCGTGGTTCATTCTGCACACTCACACGGGGCCTCATTATACAGGGCAGGACACAAGGACCCTACAGCAAGTGTCCTGAAAGAGTCCCCTCTCTGCCAAATAAGACTCCTCAGCTTCCCATCCTCCAAGTTCACAAGATCCCCCTACCATCCGTCCAGTAGAGGCCTGGGAGAGTGGACTTGTTGCCATGGCAGCTGGCTCCTCCCTGCCCCCCATTAGTAGGAAATCATCCCCTTCTGAAACGTCCCGTTGTGTCTGTCGGCTACAGCCCGAGCCCCCACCCAGCCCTCGCCTGCTTCAAGGCACTGAGACAGTCACACACTCTGCCTCTGTGGCCAGGCTGGGGGCAGGGGCATGGGCTTGGGACACACTGGAATATTTTCACCCCAGTGTAGCAGGAGCAGCCAGAGAAGCAGCCCACCACACAAGGGACCCCTCAGGAATGAAGTGGCCTTTCAGGGCTGTGGCATCCCTTCCTCTCCTTAAATAGCCAGCCTTCCACCTCACAGCGGACGGAGCCCCTCACCACCACTGCCCACGGGCACAGCTCACCTGCTCCCTGAGGACACCTGCCCCTTCCTCCTGGATCAGTGGCAAGAGGTAAGGGTAAGGGTAAGTGGAATGGGGCGGGCAGGGAGCCCAGGGGGCCAAGAGAAGAAGCACAGGGTGAAGACAGGGGCTTTCTTCTCCTCATCTCTTTGATCAAGGTCTGACCTGTGCATTGAAGACTGACCTTGGTCTAAACTCATAGCCACCCTCAAAGTGGTGTTTCTGTCCCTCTGTCAGGGGCTTGCAGAGGACAAGTGGCTTCCCCACAGTCCCACGCTGCGTGACAGCCAGAACCCAGCACCTCGCCGCTCACCGCTAGGTGCCCTGGGCCCAGGGACGAGCCAGATGAAGAAGCCACCCAAGAGCA